ATAGACTCAGATTGCTACCTAGTTTATGTTAGAAAATTACTGTGGGTGATTTCCAATTTAGTTTGCACCCAGCACACTCCCAGTCAATCCCTATATCCAAAACAAAGCAAGCACAGACACAACTCAGTTCAGCTGGCAAAAAAATATAGCTGGATATTTGTTTATCTTGTAATACAGATAGTCCTCACTTACCGATCACTCATTCAGCAACTGTTTGAAGATACAAAGGCACTGAAAAAGGAGACTTACAACCAATCCTCAAAGTTGCAGCCATCACAGCATCTCCATATTCACGTGATTGTGATTCAGGCACTTGGCAACCAGTGTGCATTTACAACAGTCACAGCGTCCTGCAGTCACATGATTTGCGAGCTTCACAGCAGTCTTCCAACAAGCAAAGTCAACGGGGAAGCCAGCAATAAGTCGCAAGTCATGGTCATGTGATGTGCTTAATGACCCACAGTGATTTGCTTAATGACTGCAGCTAGAACTGATGTAAGTGGGGCACAGTCGTGATTTTCACTTTGTGACTGCATCATTTGGTGACAAAGTTGCCGGACCCAATTGCAGTCGGTAAGTGAGGACTACCTGTATCAGCAAACATCAAAAATGGCTAACTGGGAAAACCAGGATAAAAGGCAGGCAAAAGCAGGGAGAGAGGAGGACCTGAACAACATGCAAGAATTTTATATTATCTATATATCTATATCAAAAGGACAGAACTTTCCAGAGCTACTGGAAATAATACTGTGGCTAATTAGCATGGACAGTCCCAGAAAGTGTGTCTTTTGTTTGTTCCAACTTTAACTCTTTATGTGCATAGCAGTGGCGGAATAGAGATGGAAAGTAGGACACCAGGTGACCCCCCTTTATTCTGCACCATAAAGAAACACTTTAGTGGATGGGAATAATGTATCCAACATGTCTGAGGTGTTTTTTAAATTATAAATAGTATATCTATCTACTCACTTTTTAGCATCTGACTCAGTAATTAACTTATATTCAAATTGCCCAAACAAGACTTTTTCAGCCATAGATGAGGAAGGAATAGATGGAACTTGGCATCCTTCCCAATGAATATATGAATCTGGGGATGTAATGGTATGTGGGAGTGACCCTGGGAGACAGGGAAGAGCTGCAGCCAGGACAATAGTTGGATCCAAAGCAGCTTAGCCTGCAACAGGAATGTGGGTGTGTCAAACATAAGATTCTGTTAATGCAACCCTACAGTAAAGTACAATTAATTCTTCTGGGTGTGCTTCTTGTCTAGACTATCTCGCAAGGCTGACATCAGTCTTGCAAGTTTGAAAGTACATTTCTCCCCTGTCACCTTTACAGCTGAAGAAACTAGGGAGGGTTGCTTCTGAAATGTTTGCCACCCCCACATTCCTGCTGCCGGCTAAACTGCCTCTTATCTGACCGTTGCCCGGCTGCGGCTCTTCCCATCTCCCAAGGTCATTCCCACATACCATTACAGCAGGAGATTTCATATCTTTATTCAAGAGTGATCTCACATTATTATTGCTAACTTCATAGAGCTGTGTTTCTCACCCTTAGTAACTTTAAGATGTGTGGACTTCAACTCCTGGAATTCCCTAGGCAGCATGTTGCCTGGAGAACTCTGGGAGTTGAAGACCACATATCTTAAAGTTGCTGAGGTTGAGAAACCCTGCCATAGAGGGGAGATTCCAAAAGATTCCAGATGAGCTCTCATCCTTAGCTACACAGATGGATTAATTGAGTGGTAAATGACAGCTATATCCTTTCTGCCATTCCAGCTAGGAAGCCAGATAACACTATTAATATCCATTGCTTATAACTGGCAAGGAAAGCATTAGCTTAAAGCAAAACTACCAGATCCTTTAGAGGGCCATTTTCTAACATTCACATTGTTATTTATAAATTGTTATAAATAACATTGTTTTGTTATAAACTGTTACATATAGTTTATAAATTGCTTATAATAGCATATCAAGCAATTTGGTTATGTTGAGAAGTAGGTGCACAGTCTCTTATGAAGTTCTCTTGGTTGCAAGTAAACAGAATTTTTTTGCAATGAGAGATTTAACGTCATGCTGGATGAAGGAACTTGTCACATTCTTAAAGATTTTTTTTTGTAATTCTTTAACTCATCTATTTTCACAAAAATTGCAGTTATCTGTTCAAATAAATACATTGCTAGCAGTTAAAAGGCAAGGTTTAGCCAAAGCATCAACAACTGTAATGGCAGGAGGAGAATTATTTGGGCCATCTGTTATCAAATCATTAAAATCTAGGGCACTTTATATTATCTTCAAAATCAACAGGAAAGTTACCAGTAGTTATGTTTTCTTGGAAGGCTTTCTCCTCCCAAACAACTTTATGTGGGACAGAAAATTATTTGGGGAATCCTCTATCTCTTGTGCTGAAAACTTCAAATCAGTTTGCACTCAGCCTGGAGATTACATTATCTGTAATAACTTTCGTGGTCAGAGCAGCAACATTTTCAGCTGTTTCGCTGCTTTCCAAGGTCCCAAGGATGCTTGTTGCTTTTCCTCCTGCCCATGCTGATCCCACTTTCCCAAAAGATTATAAAACAAATAAAAGTTATCTGAAACAAAACTGAATGGGATAAAACCAAAATAGAACGATTTTGAAGAAAATAAAGTAAATTAAAAAAATAATAGAAGGAAGTTAAAAAGGAAAGATGAATTATGAAGAGGCACACAGAGGAAGTACAGTACTCCATCACCATCCTAGCTCCACACCAACTCTCTTCATCTCCTCCTCCTCCTAATATTAAAAACAATACAGTAAATTAAAAAGAAAAATGGTAAGGCTGCAGGCATAGGTGGTCTAACTGGAAAAATGTTAAAATAATGCGGTAGTGTGCAGGACACCTTGTTTAACCCATGTGAAGGCTTGATGAATGCTATTCATATTCCTTTATCCACAGAGGGAAAGATAATAGTGAATGCAGAAAAATACAGGGGGTTTTGTTTATTAAGCATTCCTGAAGAATTGGTAGAACTCTGATTGAAAGTCTATAAGAGGTGACAGTGAGCAACATTTGGGAAGTGCTGTGTTGCATTATATCAGACAGCGAACGTGCAGAGCAGAGTTTTGCTCTTTAGCCAGTCATAGGATGTACAAATGTGAGAATGTTAACTGCAGATCTGTTGATTTACAGAAAGCACATGATAAAATCATGGAAGATTTTGTGTGAATATGGAATTGAAGGCTGGTTGCTGAATGCAGTAAGAGGGGTGTGTAAGGAACTTAAATGAAAATAAGTGGAATGCTGAGCAATTGGTTCACCATTGAGCAGAGGATGCATGATGCCCCTTTGGTTGCATTATGGAAAAATGTATAAAGAATATTGGAGGTAAAAATTAGATTCATTTTGATCAGGAACACAAATGCGTGTAGGTTTATATATAGATGGTGCTGTGTTGTTTGCTGAGAACCCAAATGATCTGCAGTGAATTTTAGACTGCATGATATTACAAGAAATATTAATCTGCAATTAATGTACTGGAAGCCAAGGAAGTTGTATTTGGCAAAGAAAAAAAAAAGGAAAAATTTTAAGTTACAAATCAAATCAAATCAATCTTTATTATGGTCTTAGACTAGCATAAATCTAATAAATAAATAAATAATTTTAAAAAGTGAGCTAGTAAAGGAATTTGTGTGCCTTGATGGAGATGGATGTACTAAATATGACAAAAACAAATATTAAGATGTATAAATGCTGGGAGTAAGGTAGTGAACAGTATGTGGTCTATTGCAAGATATGAATGTTTGTCAAAAGTGAAAATTATTATCTATAAATAACATGATTCTACACAGTTTAGTGTGTGGCAAAACAAGAATAGCGTCACAAATGACTGATTGATGAATGAAGGTGGATTGAATACAAAAGTAACTGACAAGAACAGAAGTACACTGAGGTGGTTGGATTAGAGGGAAAGAATATTCAATTGCAAAAGAAGTATTTGAATGAAGAGTGAAGGGGTTGAGAGGAGGGGAAGACTGAGAAAGTCAGATTGTATTAAATTGGTGAGCTCTTCAGAAAAACATGAGGTATGAAGTTTAACGAAAAAAATAAGAATCAGTGTATGATATTGCAGAAGCAAATATGGTTTGCAAATGATAGAATGCTACAGGAAGGTTCAATGTAAACAATTTAGTTTTCCTTTTCTTATTTCCTGACTTTAATTTACTTGGCTCATTACATCTCATTTTTTTCCTGCATTTTGCATAAAGTTGGTTAGCCTGAAAGGAAACAGCATGATGGGTTCATATGTATATGTATTATGTATGTCTACAAATAAAGAACAGCAGTTAGGAACCAAATTCTGAATTGTATAACCTCCAGAAGTTTGAAACAAATCCTCAATGTAAACTGCTTTCACTTATCCACTGCAATTTATGGAGAATGATTTAATTATTTGATTATGATATTTATCTATGGGGGTAACTGCCTATCTAATATTCACCAGAGAAAGAGGATGAAATGTACAGATGAAATGTGCATATGGGATTAATGTCTCAAACTAGCAAGAAAAGACTAGAAGCCGATTGTTGTTTCTGATTACTACAGTAACAACGATAATAGCATCCACACAAATGGACTTAACCATACAGTCTTTAAATGCGGCGCAATACAATTATGGACTATTTACTGGCGAAAGGTGAAGAGAAGACAAGAAATGTGTCTTCAGATTAGTTACTCCTGGTGTAGGGTAGGACAAGGCGCCCGTTCGACTCTCCCTGAGCTCTTTCTCAGGGGATCCAGAAGGCGAATCTTCCTGGATTCGAAGCCAGAAACTCGGGCGGAGAAGGCAGATTCATATGGGCTCCCGAGGCAGACGAAGGCCCCCAAAGCGGGCAGAGAAGCGAGTGCTGGCGGGCGGGAGGGAGCGTGCAGGCGACTGCCGCTTGCTTCTCCCTCCTCTCCTCTCCCCGAGGTGCCTTTTCCGACAGTTTCTCGGGCGGCGGGAGGGCCACGCCCCGGGGAAGAAGGCAGATCCCGGCGCTGCCCGACGAGGCTCGCTCAGCGAGGAGTGTCCCTTCCTGAGCCAGGCATGGAACAGCCTTGACCGGGCTTCCCGCGACGCGCCCGGAGAATGGGACGGGACAGGCCACCGGGTGCAGGTGAGTGGCTGGAGACTCTCCAGGCTGGCCCTTCGGCGCCCACCGTCCGGGACGGTCAAGGGAGCTTTCAGGCTTCCCCTGCCCGCCGGAGCGCGCCTTCTGGCTCTTCTTGGGAGGTGAGCGCGGAGCCTCGGCAACCCCGAACTGTTCAGGGAGCCCTTCCTTTCCTCGCGCAGGTCGACAGGTGTCTGAGAAAGGGGGGGCGTCTCTTGCTTTCTTGGGGGGCAGCTTTCCTCTCGCCCTGGGAGTCCGGGCGAGACCAAACTCCTCCTTTCCGGACGCGGACAGGGGAGTTGGTTTGAAGGAGCTGGGATGGGCGGGAGAGTCGGCCCTGCTGCAGCCTGGCTGGGGCGGGGGGAGGACCGCTCTGGGCACGAGGACATTTGCCAGGCCGCGGCTGAGAAGATGCCTTCTGTTTATAATCTTGTATCCTGGGAGATCAGGGCCCAGTTATTTTGAGAAAGAAGAACGCCGAGTTTCTGCAGGCGACTCTTCAAGAAACAGGGGAGTGATTGTTGCGTCGTGGTCCCTGCGAAGAACAGGCAATTGTAGGGCAGCTCGAGTTCTTCCTCCGCCCGCTCCAGAGTACCTGGGGTGGGATCCGTTTTCCCCCTTCCAGCCAACCACTCACTGATTCCCAACGGGGCGGGGGGGGGGGGGGGGGGGGAAAAAAAAG